CCTACTAATGGGCTTTGGGTCTCCACTCTGCACTCCCCCCATCATTCACTATGGTAAGATTTTTTTGTTCTGATGATGCCTTATACCTGTCACAATGTTTTTCTGCCATTCTATGGACTGTCTTCTTTTTCTTAAAGGTCCTTTGAAGGTGACTGTTTCAGACTCTTCAGTGGTTCTGTCAGTACTAGGCTGTCTTAGTTATCCAGCACTGCACTATTTGGCTACCATACCAGAAATAGCACCAGTAGGTAGCTTTAATGAACAGAAATTACTTTCTAATTTCTAAGCCCTAATTCAGGGAGCTGGCTCTAGGAGAAGGCTTTCTCTTTTGGCCCCAGCAGAAGATCCTTGTCTTAGCTTCTGGTGCTGGAATCCTTGGCAGTCTGCTTGTGGGATCTCTCCTTCATTTGTCATTGCCTGTCGCTGTACCTTCTACCTGCTCCCTTTCTGTATCTAAAGTTGCTGGTTAAGACACCCCCCGCCCCCCACACACAGTTAGTCTCACTAACATAATAAAGCCCTATTTCCAAATAGGATTATCTACATTTATGTAGAAATTCAGGTTTACAACACATACTTTCGGGTGACACAGTTCAATCCAGAACATGGATTGAAAATTATGAATGTAAGTTCTATATTCAATTCATTGCTGTAGAAATATTGACTGTAAATGTGCATGAATTTACAATAACAACAGTAACATTAAAGGTCTTTTACACACATACATCACTACCAAGAAATATTTTTGCAAAAGTTGTAGAAAATTACTAGGTTGAGCCCAAACCAAATCAATCTCAACTGCCATAGAGTTGATGCGAAGAGCCCTGTTGCTCTGTTGGGAGCCCTGTTTGGTAAGGTTTCACTGTCAGCCACAGGTCAGGAGTTCAAATGCAGCAGCTGCTCCCTGGGAGAAAGCTGAGGCTCTCTGCTACCATAAAGATTTACCACCCCAGAAAACCTTTTTAGAGTCACTATTTGTCAGAATGGATTCATTGACAGTGGGTTGTCTTTGCACAAGCCCTGGTAGTGCACTGGTTAATAAAGCACACCTGGTAACCAAAAAGTCATTGCTTCAAACCCCCATCCCCTCCAAGTGAGCAAAGTGGCAGTGTATGTCCCTAAAGATTACAGCCTTGGAAACCCTGTGGAGAGTTCTACTGTGTTCGACCTAGAGTGGTTATCATCCTGTTTAGAATCGTTGCTCTTTTTTTGTGTCTCGACAAAACTGTAAGTACCTCAAATTTGTTTTTATAAACTCAAAATCACTACCATTGACTTGATTCAACTCGTAGCGACCCTATTATAAGGCCAGAGTAGAACTGTCTGTGTGAGTTTCTGAGACAGTAACTTTTTTTTTTTTTAATCATTTTATTAGGGGCTCATACAACTCTTATCACAATCCATACACACATCAATTGTGTAAAGCACATTTGTACATTCATTGCCCTCATCATTCTCAAAACATTTCCTCGCCATACAGTAACTAACTTGACAGGAGTAAAAAGCTTCATCTTTTTCATGTAGCGCAGTTGATGGTTTCGAACTGCTGATGTTATTGGTTAGCAACACAGCACATAACCACTATGCCACAGCAACCTCATGTGACAAGTGACAGAGTGTAACTGTCACATCAGGTTTCCTAGGAGCCCTGATCTAGTGGTTATGTGTTGGGTTGCAATCTGCAAGGTTGGCAGTTTGAAATCACCAGCTTGGTTTTTTAGAATCTGTATGGGAGCAGATTGCTAGATCTTGTTTGGAGCTGTGGAAGTGGAGCTGCTGACAAATGCTTAACCATCATATC